TCTTAGAAAAATCAAGACTAAATGAAGTTTTCAAAGTTTTGTTGTTTTTGATAGTCATGTTTTAATAAAGCCATTATTAACAAAAATAACTTTATTTGTATCAAAAATATCAAGTTGAATAAACAAAGAATCATTATTATTGACATATGGTTTATTAAACAGGTGTTTAAGTTGTGAAGTTTCATGAATAGTGTTATTATTAGTTGAGATTGTATTTCTATTGTTAAACAGATTTAAAGAATTATTAATTTGCAAAAGATGACATCATTCTTTAATATAATTTTTTTGTTTAACTTGTTAACTTGTTGTTATGGCTAGAATTTAGCCATAGAAGTATTTTTTATTTTCATTATTTACATTGAGTGTTTTGAGCTTGTTATTAAATTTTGTTTTTATAATTTGTGTTATCAATTATTTTTATTTTCTGCTAAATTTTTACAAAAAAATTTTTGGCCATTGATATTTAAGAATAATCAGTATTTTTTAATTTAGTTATTTTTTTAATTGGTCTTTGTTAATTGTAAGACTGTTTATGATTAAAAGGGTTACATTTAAACATTTAGCTGTAGCTTAATTGCCTTGGATTTTTATACGTTGTTTATTTGATTATGTATTTTTGTGTGCTACCAGCCTTGTTTAAATGATTTTTTTTTTTTTTTATTGTATTCAAGTATATTGTTCATTTACCATTATATTTTATTGTTCATACTATTACATGTTTTTGTATGTTGTTTGCATTGTGTTGCTTTTTTTTTAGTTTGTTTAATTTTAGTCATACATTTTTAAAGTTGTATATACTTTTAAAGCTGTATATCTGTATGTATATTTGTACATTCATATGTGAGTGTATGTATGTGCACATGTATATTTCTGTCCATATATGTGTATATATACATGTGTGTATGTATCAATATATCTGTATATTTATGTTTGTGTATGTATGTGTAATATGTATGTATTTATATCTGTGTATTTATGTTTGTGTATGTATATGTAACAATATTAAACTTTCAACTTTTTTTTAAAGCTTATTTGTTCATAATTTTTTTTGTAATTTTTTACTATATTTTTCATTTATACTAGTTTTTTTTTTCCCTTTGATAGTATTACTTCTTTTAATGTTAAATATATTTTCTTATTTTTAACCTTTTTTACTGTTATTGTTTCTATTATAATTATCAGTATCACAGGTATTATTATTTTTAATTTTACTAATTTATTTCAATTTAAATAACTGTGTTTATGTCATTGTTAATTGTTACATTTTATCAGTTAACTATTTGTAACTAACTTCATATATGTATATAGCTTTTGTGTTTATTAAAATAATTTACATTATATTTTGTTGTTATCATAATTGTTGTTTTTCTTATATTATTACTAATATTATTGTGATTATTTTGTTTATTATTACAATAACAATAACCTAATAAAAAAAATAATATTTACTATAACTATAATAACAATATTAATATTAGTAATAATAGTTAAAAGTAATTAATAATAGTAATGTAAATATTTATAAAAAATAACAATAAACAATAGTAATGACAACAAAAATTATTATAGAAATTAGAAATATCAAACACAAAATGTTAATAACAGTAATAATAAACAATACTAAAGACAACAAAAATTGATTATAGAAATTATAAATATGAACTGCATTTTTTTAATTTTCATTAGATGTTTACTTAATGTTAGTAGTTTTACTATATCTAAACAACCTTAAAATGTAATACCAACTATTTCAGAAATATATTGATTGATTAGATGTGTTTTTTTCCATTGAAAAAATATTTTGTATTGAAAAAATAATTTATTTAAACCGCTATGCTTTCAAAAGAACTTCATGTGTTTCAGATATCAAAAATTATTAATACTTCCTAAATTTAAATCCAGAAAAAATAAAATGATGTGCTTAAAATATTGTGGAATTTTTAAGTTTATTGTTAATGGAAATTACTTTTGGAGATAAAAAAAATTCTAAAAATAATTTCCATTTTTATTCCCCAAAAAAAAAATTGTTAAAGATAAAAATTCACAATTGCTACTCAAAAACTGACCAAGTCTTAACCAAGCTTCTTTCAGAAAATGACTAAGCTAGTTTTAATCAAATGTCTTTCAGAAAAATCATTAAGATAAAAAAAAGTTTAGAACTATTCCAGATCAAACCAAAAAAATATTTTCTATATTTAGGAACAGTCTTGGATGTAAATGAATGAAAATAAATGAATATTTTTCTACTAAAGAAAAAATTTTTTTGAACACAGCTGGTATAATAAATAATTCAATGATTTATATAAAGGATATTGATAAATTTACTTGTTTCATAATCACTGAAAGGAGTATTACCTATCTATAATTTACTTGTTTCATAATCACTGAAAGGAGTATTACCTATCTATAATTATGTTAGTGTGGATTCTGATCAAATGCTTTTGAAATTCACTATAAATGTTTTAATCAGTTTTAAATGCTAGTTAAACTATGTAACTAATGTGAATAATCTAAGAGTTTTACATTTTTTAAGAGGATCAAAATACAACGATAGAAAATTTAATTCTATTACTCAAGTTTTACTCATTAATTGATTAAGTCACAACATTTGGAAAAACCTGGGTTTAAGCAATGCTTAAACGATATTCAAATATTTAATTATTCCTTTTTGTCTCATTTTTACAATTCATTTTTACAAGCAAATCAATTTTTACAAGCAAGTAAAGTTAATTTGAAAGAACAAAATTTAATTAGTAAAAAAATGTAGATAAGATACTCGATTTTTACACCCAATTGAACTTTGACAAACTTTGACAAACTTCTTGCAATACAAAATTTTTTATATGTGTGGGAATAAAAGTACACCATTAAGCATGTGAAAAAAGGCGCACAATAAAACTGCAAAGAACTTGGCGGCAGGTATCTTTTTCACTTCACTGAATGGTATAGTAACCAAACCATAAAGACAAATGACAAATGAATGGTAAAGTTGATCCACTGCTCGACATCCGTATCACTACAGCTTCTGTATCTAAAGTGATTTCCTGTTTAGACTCTTCTACAGCTTGCGGACCGAACAACATACCTGTTATAATCTTGCAGAAGTGTTCTCCGGAGCTGTCGTCTATCCTTTCAAAACTATTTAACAAGTGCTTATCAGTCTTGTTTTCCAGCCTGCTGGAAAGCAGCATCTGTTATCCCTATTTTTCAAAATTCTGGAGAGTGATCTGATTCGTCTAACTACCGTCCCATTAGTCTTCTTTCTATCATAAGCAAGGTTTTTGAATCTTTAATTAACAAACACTTAATCTCTCATCTCGAATCTCATAACCTACTTTCTGATCATCAATAAGGATTTTGATCTTCTCATTCTACGGCTGATTTGCTAACAGTAATAACTGATAGGTTTTATTGCGCATTAGATAAAGGTGGAAAGGTTAAGGCCATAGCTCTAGACATTTCTAAAGCGTTTGATAAAGTTTGGCATGCTGGTCTTCTTTATAAGCTTTCTTCTTACAGTGTATCTGGAAACATCTTTAAGATTATTGAATCCTTCCTTTCCAATCATAGTATAAAAGTTGTCCTTGATGGACAGCACTCTTCTTCTTATTCTGTAACCTCAGAGGTTCCTCAAGGTTCAATCCTTGTCCCTATACTCTTTTTAATTTACATTAACGATCTTCCAGATTTTCTCACATCTAAGGTGGCATTGTTCGCTGATGATACTACCATTTATTCTTGTCATGATAAGAAGCCAACTTCCTCTGATTGCTTGCAGGGGGCATCTGAGCTTGAAAAGGTTCTCATTTCTGCTACAGCATGGGGCTCACAGTGGCTGGTGAACTTTAATTCAGATAAAACTCAATTTTTTTCAGCCAATTGTTATCGCAATAATTTAGACCTTCCTTTATTTATGAACGGTAATGTACTCGATGAGTCTCCTACCCTTCATCTTCTAGGATTAACTCTTACTTCTGATCTTTCTTGGAAACCTTATATCAAATTCGTTGCAAAATTAGCATCTACTATTCTCTATCTCTATAAATTTCAAATCTGGCCTTGTATGGAGTACTGTTGCCATATCTGGGGTGGATCTTCTAATGATGCCCTTTCTCTTTTAGACAAGGTGCAAAAACGCATTGTAAACATAGTTGGACCTGCTCTTGCAGCCAACCTTCAACCTCTGTCACATCATCGTAATGTTGCTTCTCTTTTTCTTTTCTACAAATACTATAATGGGCACTGCTCTAAAGATCTAACGTCTTTTGTGCCATCTACTAAAACTCATTCTCGTGTTACTCTTCATTTAATTAAGTCTCATCTTTTTTCAGTGACTGTTCCTAAGTGCTCCAGAAACTCTTATTCCTCTAGTTTTTTTCCTCGAACATCAGTTCTTTGGAATTCGCTTCCTTCATCTTGCTTTCCTGATTCATATAATTTACAATCTTTTAAGTTGTCTGTGAATCGTTATCTTGCTCTACAATCTTCATCTTTTCTTTTCCAGTAACTTTCAACACTAATTAGTAGTTGCTTGCAGCCTTGTTGGAAGGGAAGATGTTAAAAAAAAAAAGTAAGCAAACCAAAAAGACCTTACTTAAGTGAAAAGTAAAGAAGAAAATCAAATCTCAAATTAAACAGAGTTTACTAAAATCTCATTAGTTTTCTATTAATTTATTTTTTCTACTAGGAGAAAAAACAATTGTATCAAGAAACCATTTTATTAAATTTAAAACCTTTTTATTTTATACTTTTCTTCATGTTGACATTAGCACCAATTTTATCTCCAACGAACAAATGTTTAAATATTAAACTGATTAAATCATCATACTTTGTTTATAAACTCAACTTTGAAACACGAAAGTGGATCTATATATTTATATCTATCATCAAAGTAGATATTAGTATACTATCTTCTTGTTAACTAGGAGAAAATTAACTTATAGATAAAAAACCTTCTTTAAAATGGTACATTTATAAAAAAATACAACTTTTTTACTTACTTTTTTGTAACCCAGTCCTAAAGCTACTTGGCAAATGTTAAATCTTTCATTGTTAAGTGCATCTGTTGGTTGACCACCAACTGAATCATGTGCACCATTATTAATTACTATATGATTGTAATTTGGAAGAGAACAATTTCCAATAGTTGACATATTGCCCATGTGCATAATGCATGCTCCATCTCCATCCAAACAAAATACCTGCATATAAATATGATTTTAATATTCAAATTAAGTTAATTAGGTACCATATATTATTAGATAGCGCCATATATTAATAGGTAGCACCATATATTATTAGGTAGCACCATATTTTATTACGTACCACCATATATTATTAGGTACCATCATGTAGAAAAAAATGATAAGCTCAATATCATATTTAAAATTTACAAACAAAAAGTTGAAAAGTAAAATAAATAAAAAATCAAACTGAAAAAGACATTTTACCATCAATAATTGAGTGAATAATACCTGTCTTTTGGGCTTTTTTAAAGCATCATACCTGTCTTTTGGGCTTTTTTAAAGCAATTCCTAAAGCAATAGCAGAAGCATGCCCCATACTTCCAACAGTTAAAAAATCTTTTTCATGACCATTAAACTGTTTTTCACGAATCTCAAAAAGTTCCCGACTCAACATTCCAGTTGTTCCAACAACAACATCACGATCATGCAAACATTTAACTATCTCTTCAATTGCTCCTTCACGATTTAAAGGCATTTCTTCAAAACTAAAACAAAAAACTCATTATTATTTTTAAAAAGTTAATAAAAATAACTCAACCTTAAATGCTGCTAACAATAATATATTATAATAAATACATTGATGGTGGGTACTTCATTTTGTAAGGTAAAAAAGTTTGACGTTTAACAAGTAAACAGTAAGGTCCTTTTGAAACTTCCATGTGTTTTCTGGCTGAGTAAAGTACCTATAAAATGTACATTTATAACAGTTAATAAATACATATTTATTGCCATACAAATAATAAATACATATTTGATACTTAGAATAACTCTTATTGTGGGAGATTTTAACTACCCAGATATCAATTGGCAAAATTGAAAACAACTAATTTCAAATAACTCTAACTCAATTAAATTTATTAAAACTATTCGCAATTCCTTTTTAACCCAACACATTTCAGAAGCAACACAAATTAGACCAACCAAAATCTGTCTACAATTGACCTCTTCTTTTCATCCGATGAAACAAAATTAAAAAAAAAAAAATTGAATTAGAAAAAAAAAAAAAATTGCAAAAAAAATTGACCAAAATCCAAAAGCTTTTACTCTTGTAAAAAGCTTTTGGATTTTTTCAAATAAAAAAAAAAAAAAAAAAAAAAAAAAACATGACATTAACTACAATAATAAAGTTGCAACATCAAATACAGATAAAACTCAACTATTTAACAAATACTTTGTTACTACTTTTTCAAGTAAAAAAAGAACAGAACCATCATTTGACCTAAGATATAATACAAGGTTCCCACTACTAAAACTGAGGCTAAAATTAAGGATATTAAGGAGATTTAAGGAGATATTTTCCTATTATTTAAGGAGATTCAGTCGCGAACGACAATTTTTTGAAGGAAAAAGTAAGGAGAATTAAGGAGAAAACAATTACACTAAAAACAGAATCTTTCTTTTTTCAATCAATTTTAAATATAAATAGATACACTATTATAAATAAAGAAATATATATATATATATATATATATATATATATATATATATATATATATATATATATATATATATATATATATAAAGAAATAGCTTTAATGTCATCTAAATAGAAAAGGAATCATTAAATAATCATATTACATTTAGTGATACGAACTAAAAAAACACTTATATTCATAGCTTAAACCTAAGGCTATTCTTTTTACAGCACGGAAACCAATTTCATCAGATGACTTTTTTAAATTCTCAATCATAGATAATGTCTGTCGAATTTCAGTATTGACAATTTCAATATCTTCTATAATTTTTCTTTTTGCTTCCATTTTCACTGTTTTTTCTACAGACAGGGCTTTTAAACCTTGATCATCAAAATACTTTTTTCTTGCTTGTTTGCAATAATCTAATAAATCTTTTGTTATTTCAACTTCATGAGCCATAAACCCATGAAATGTGAGGTAATCTTGGATTGAACATAAAGAGATAATAGTATCTGGGGACATATTGTCATCGATCAGACTTTTATTGCTGCTAAATCCTCGTTCAACTTGAGCTTGTCCGTGCGATAAAATGAGTATAATTTTGAAAATGTGCTGTAGATTTGCATATATCTTTAAATCAGTGTATTTCCACAAAAAGTAGTCCAAACGATCCTTATCTTTATCAAAAGTCAAAAATACTTCTTTGTTATCAACGACCACACTTTTACAGAACCTGGAATATTCTTTCTTAGCTAAATCACTAACAGAAGCTCTAATTTTCTTGTAAGTAACAAGCTTCATCAACAGTTTGTCAAAAAAATAATCACACTTTTCTGGATATTCAACCATAAATGATGGGGAAATACACACCAGACAGCGAGCAACCAGTGAAGACAAAGGGCTTTTCTCAATAATATGAGTACACATTGAGACAAGAAAATCACATATTTCCTTTTTTAACTTATCAATTTGAACATCGGTAATCTTTCCCTTACTCTTAAAGGGATCCCAAACTCCCAACACATATTGTGTTCATATTAAAGATAATGTTAAAAAAAAAAGGTTTGAACCAAATTTTTTTGATTAAAAATAAACAATGAATGCATACCGTGAAAAACAAATGTTTTTTTTTTTTTGCCGAAGCTCATCTTCTCCATTTTTTTCAACTACTCGGAATCTTCAAATTATGCGTCGCAATCTACAGACTTTGGCAATTCCTTTGAAGCGCATTTAATTCATAAAAGTTTTAGTATTTGACGTCACGATAGACTTTTAACAAAAGAAAAGTGTAATTAAACTAAGCTGCGTTTTTCTACTGTAGTATTTTTTTAACATACAGCAAAACAAATTTATTTGTATTATTTTTCCATACATCGCAAAAAAAATTTTGTAAAAAGTAAAAACAATAAATTATTTTTATTTTATAGGAGCAACTTATTTTTTACAGATATCTTAATAATTTTTAGATTTATATATCTTACTTATATTTCTTTAATTATTTAAATTAAAACAAATATTAAAGCTTTACTTAATAATCTCATGATTTTCATACGAGTATTTTACATTATATAGAACGTTTTATATACTGTCTCTTGTTTTTGCGCAAGAGAGCGCAGTATTATATATTCTGATTCTTAATTATTTTTATTTAAACAATGGGAACTATTTTCTAACTTCTCTGGTTATTTTTACGCTATGACAATTTTTTGTTTTCCCGTTGAAAAAAAGTATTTATTAACAATTACATTCATAAACTGACAGTAATAATTAGAGATATTTAATGAATTGTTAACTTTTTTTATTATAAAATTTTTTTGATCACGCTGATTTAATTTAAATTGTTAAATTTGCTGAATTGGATACGGATAAAAAGGAAATACCATTTTATTTTACATTTGATTTTTGATAATGAAATTTTTAAAATGTCAGCAACTCCATACCAATTAGAACCTGTTAAGATTATGAAAAAAAAGTACAAGAATACACTAAACAATACAGTTGACAGTAGTATCAGATATGAAAATTCGTGAAAGGATATGTGAGATCCTGATTTTGCATTAAAAGTACAATTAATTGCAACACAAGTCGGCATTAGAAATTTTGATTATAAGTTTACTGTTCAATATTTTATAACCATCAAATAAAAAACATGAAGTTTGTATATTTTCGCCCATTTTATACAACTAATATTTAACAAAAATACGGACAAATTATTATTAAATAACGCAATAATTAACACATTAATTAAAGGCAATAATTCAAGATAGATGGTAATTTAAATTGTTAAAATGTCATTAAAAACACGCATTAAAAAACATTATATTTGGTATTTCCAAATTTGTGTCGTAATTGGCATTTGTCTCTTAACATGAAAAATTAAAAAATTTTAAAAACACAATTAACAAATGCAAATTTTCAAGCAATTTTCTCTTCCAATTCTCATTTATTCAAAGAAAATTTACTATTAAACTTTTATTTCTCTCATCTAAAAAAAGAACGAGTGATGCAAAAAAAATGTATATTCTATACAACTCTTATTCATTCAGTTTAATTACGCGAAACTCTTCTTTCTCTTTTGTTCTATTCTTTTATAAAAAGAGCGCCCAATGAAATAAAAACTTTTCTTTTTTAACATATAATTATAGTTTGAGATAAAATTAAATTAGAAATAAATCAACAATGAGCAAAGCAACGAACAGATTAATCTGGAACTATTTTGATATTTATGAAAATAATCAACATAAACAACATTACCAACAACAGTTATCAAATAAAGAACACAATCTCGCATAATTTTAGGGGCATTTTATTTTTATTGCTTAGTCGTTCTAAATAATAAGTAAATTTAGTTCAAGTTAATAATTCAATATTTACAGTTGCAATATAATAAAGAAATGGCGTTTAATACTGAACTTTTTATTTAGTTATTTATTTTTTTACCTACATTTGTTATAAAAAACTTTAGAACACCCGTCATTAAAATAATTTGTTTTATATTTCGACGTGATTATTAAAACTTATTTTTTTCGTTTGACTTTCCGAACTTCATGCAAAGCAAATTGAAACGAAATATCGTCTAACCAAATAAAAAAGCTGTTACTAATTTTATACGGGTAATTAATGTAAAACAATTTTTAAGATAAATATTTTTTAATTAGATAAATATTTTTAATTTTATACAGGTAATTAATGTAAAACAATTTTTGAGATAAAAATTTTGAGATAAATTTTCATAATTTATAAACATTAAATATATGGCGCAATAACAATTTATAGCAACAAACCAGCATAAAATATTTAAGGTTTTTAATATCTTTTTAAATATTAAAAGTAGAAAAAAAAAAAAACTAAACAAATAACCAAAAAAACTTTGACTAAAAATAAATAAAACATTTCCAGAGTTTCTTTTTTTAAAAGTCTACCGTGACGTCAAATACTAAAACTTTTATGAATTAAACGCGCTTCAAAGGAATTGCCAAAGTCTGTAGATTGCGACGCATAATTTGAAGACTCCGAGTAGTTGAAAAAAATGGAGAAGACAAGCTTCAGCAAAAACAACAACATTTGTTTTTCACGGTATGCATTCATTATTTATTTTTAATCAAAAAAATTTGGTTCAAACCTTTTTTTTTAACATTATCTTTAATATGAACACAACATGTGTTGGGAGTTTGGGATCCCTTTAAGTTGCTGGAAATTATACTTCAATGAAAAACCAACATCAATTTGGCTGGTTGAAAGCCAGTTTGCGAAATTAAACAAATCTATTTTTAACAAAGATGTTGTAGTTTTGGCATTTAAAAGAACATCTAATTGAATGAACTTTGCATAAAAGTTGTGTAGTAGTTCTTCAAGTGTCACCACCAGAAAAAGAGTCATTGGTTTATCAGTTTGAAAAGAAACTAGAAGAAAAAAAAATAGCAAGATTAAAAATAACTTTTTGTGATTTTTTCTCAAAATTTTAAAAATAATATGAAAAGAATAGCTCAGAATATTTTTTTACTTTTGTAATAAAACAAAATATATTACATAAAAAGCAATAAAATTGCATCTAGATTAAATAATACGAACCAAGGAATGCATTTAGACTGCCACTAATTTCTTCAAAAAACTTTGACTTTAAAGGAACTAAAACTTCATTTGTTCGAGAACTTAAATGTTCAAAGCTGGTGTTTTGTCCTGATTTACCACATCCAGGTTGCTTACTTTTTGGTAAAGACTTCCAGTAGTCAACAACTAATACTACTTTTAACCAAACCTCTATTGCTTTCTTGGCAACACTTTGATTTTCAGCCCATCGAATATCACAAAACATTAAAGGAAAATCTGAACTTGTTGCCTCAGCTATTCTTTCATAATCACTTGCTCTTGATGGACTTTCATGAAATATTTGGTACAATGAAGACATTAACTTCTTTAAGTTCCAATCAGTAGCTTTAGCACCAGTTTGTAAGGATCCATTGATAGTATGTAAACCACAGGTACCAATATCGATGAGTGTACTTAATTCATTGTTATGACGTTCTTTGTTGAGCATTTCCAAAAACAGTTTATTTACATTAGGGCAATCCATAGAAACCTGAAGCATTTTTTCAGCATTTAAACCAGTCATGCAGGATTTAAACATATTTAGAATATCTGGGGCTGCAGCTTTTCCCATGAACTCTGAAGTATAATATCTTGTGCAAACAGTATTACTCTCTTCATTCCAATATCGCACATGTAAGTCCATTTGACCTTTCTTTACAATTTTATTATAAGACTCATTAAAAAGACATTCATCAAAAAGTCACTGGCAATTTTGCTATCTGGAAACATGGAAGCAAATTGTTTAGACTTATTCTCACTTGATCTAAAAGAGTATTTGCTTTGAACAATATCTAAAGACCAAATTAACTCTGCTTTCAAAACTGCTTCCTTTTGAAGCATATCTGAAATAATACATTGTTTTGATGAGATAGGCTTCTGTGGTACTGATTGCAAAGTTTCTTTAAACGAAACAAAATAACCCTCTTTAGGCAATCGCTCTATGTGTTTTGCTCCTCTCCCATGTACATCAAGAGCCTTTATACCCTTTTTTGAAATTTATTGTTTGAAAGTAAATTTTTATTATTAAATAATAAAAATTTACTTTCAAACAATATTGATCTAAGTCCAAAAAATATCAAAACATACCTCTTTAATCTAACACATCTAAATCATCAGGTCCAGATGAATTATGTCCAAGAGCATTTAAGAAAGCTAGCTTTCCAATTTCAAAACATCTATTTTTAAAAAAGTCCTTGAAAGCAGTTCAATAACGCAAATATGGAAAGATGCACCAATATTTAAAAAAGGAGATTAAAAGCTATTAATTATAGACCTATCAGTCTAAACTTGTATCTCAGTAAAAACTATTGAAAGAATGATACAAAATCATTTTTGGTCATGTAGGTCATATTCTAAAAATCCAAAATGTGTTTGGGTAAAATATCCAGAAAAAATCTAGAATATATTTTCCTTTATTTTCCTCTTAGTTTTGTTTATATATATATATATATATATATATATATATATATATATATCTATATATATATATATATATATATATATATATATATATATATATATATATATTACAAGCTCAAAAATAGCAAACGTAAATACTATGTCTATGGATTGCTATGGTCTAATTGATCTTATTTGGATTTGGTCACGGTCATCCTCACAGTCATCCTTATTTGGTGTTGGTCACGGTCATCCATCATTTTTATTTCACTATCTCTGACATGTCAGAGATAGTGAAATAAAATTGATACTACATAAGTATGACCGTGACCAACACCAAATTAGATCAATTAGACTATAGCAATCCATAGATAATCTGATCGTGTGCAGAGATCTCCAGCATAACAAACCAACATCAACAAGATCTACACCAACAACTAGAATGATCAGTTTTGCTGAAAATTCTACTACAACAGCACCATTGACAGCAACCTCTCAGAAATCTATAAGTTACAATAGTGTACTAATTAGTTCCACAAAAGGCAATAATAACACCATCAAAAATAACCCCTAAGACAACAAATGACACTGAATTGATTAACAGTGGGAAGCCTCTTTCTATATTAAACCTATTATACAAACACCACGCCCCTGAATTCAGATAAACTAGTGGAACTATCTGCAATTGTTTCCTCAAACACCATTCATGTAATTTTTATAAATAAAACTTGGTTCTCAGAAACACCAGCACCACTTTTACCAGACCACCTCCACCTTTTAAGACTGAGCTGACAGCTATGGGGGCATTGCTTTATACATTCTAAATTTTTTTTTTTTTTTTTTTTTTTTTTATTTGCATTCACTCCCAACAAGGCTGCAAGCAACCACTATTAAGTTGGGAGTTACCAGGAAAAAAAAAGAACAGAGTTATAGAGCAAGGAAACGGTTGACAGAAGACTTAAAAAGTTGAAGGTTGTATGAGTCAGGAAAACATGAAGACGGGAGAGTGTTCCAAAGGATTGAAGTGCGGGGAAAAAAACTAGATGAATAAAAGTTTTTAGAGCATGCAGGGACAGATACAGAAAACGAATGAGACTTGGCTGAATGACGAGTAAAACGAGAAAGAATTTTAGTTGATGGAACTAGAGATGATAACTCCTTTGAGCAGTGACCATGATAGTATCTGTAGAAAAGAGAAAGAGATGCAACTTTACGACGATGGGAAAGAGGTTCAAGCTTAGCAGATAGTCCAGGTCCAACAACATTTACAATGCGTTTTTGGACCTTGTCAAGAAGAGAGAGTGAATTGTTAGAAGAACCAGCCCAAATATGACAACAGTATTTCATACAGGGACGAATAAGAGATTTGTAGAGATAGAGAATGGAATCAGAAGTAAGGAAATGGCAAGCACGATAAAGAGAAGCAACCTTAGCAGAAGCTAATTTAGCAATCGATTGTATATATGGTTTCCATGAAAGGTCAGTAGTAAGCGATAATCCAAGAAGACATAAAGAGGAGGACTCAGTAAGAGGATTGCCATTCATTAATATAGGAATGTTCACCATATTACGGTAGTTGTTTGCAGTAAGCAATTAGGTTTTTTTAGAGTTGAAATTCACAAGCAACTGTGAACCCCAATCTATTACTGAAGTGAGATCAGATTCAAGATCAGCTGCTTGTTCTAGGCGATCGAAAAGAGAAGACTTTTTGTCAAGACAGGAGTATAAAGTTGAGTCATCAGCAAAAAGAGCTACTTTAGATGAAAGGTTTTCAGGAAGATCGTTTATGCAGATAAGAAACAAAACAGGGCCCAGGATGGAACCTTGGGGAACCCCAGAAGTTACTGGAAATAAAGAAGAGTGTTGGCCTTCAAGGATGACTTTAATTAACCGGTTAGAAAGAAATGATTTGATAATCTCAAAAACTTTTCCAGAAACACCATATGAAGCAAGCTTATGGAGAAGACCAGCATGCCAAACTTTGTCGAAAGCTTTAGATATGTCGTGAGCAATAGCCCTAGCCTCACCGCCTCCATCTAATGCACGATAAAATCTTTCATTTACAGCAGTTAGCAAGTCAGCCATAGAGCGAGAGGATCGAAAACCGTATTGATTGTCTGACAGTAGTTTATTTGACTCAAGATGAGATGTGAGGAATTTGTTGATCAAAGACTCAAAGACCTTGCTAATAACAGAAAGAAGACTGATCGGACGATAACTGGAGGGGTCAGAATTTTCTCCAGAGTTTTTGAATATTGGAACCACAGATGCCATTTTCCAACAAGCAGGAAAACAAGACTCAGTCAAACACTTGTTAAATAGTTTAGAGAGAATTGAAGAAAGTTCTGGAGAACAATTCTGCAAGACTGTGACAGGAATGTTGTCTGGACCACAAGCTGTAGACGAGTTTAATTGAGATATGACTTTAGCAACAGAAGCTGGAGTGATTTGAATGTCTAACAATGGGTCAACCTGTTTGACTGGAATGGAAGGAAGAGAATGTCCATAAGATTCAAGAGTGGAATTAGAAGAAAAGTTCTTTGCAAACAGTTCTGCCTTATCCCTGGGAGAGGTAACAAGATCAGTCCCATGAATGAGAGATGGAATGTTAGATCTACCCTTGTTAACAATGCTGTTGAAGATTTTCCAAAAGTCTTTAGAGCCTAACTTCTGCGATAAGATGCGAGATTTAGTGAACTGAGAATAATGGAGTTTAGCATCAGAAAGCACCTTTTTACATCAATTTCTTGCAATAATAAATAGCCGTTTGTTCTTAAGAGAGTTGTTCTTTTAAAAAAGATGAAAAAAATGGTTACGATTGGATATAGCAGCCGCACAAGAAGGAGAAAACCATGGAGTAGAATTAGGCTTGACTTGAAACCGACGAGAAGGAATAAAAGCTTCCATTCCAGCCTGAATCCAGGAGGTTACGTAGGAGGCACATTTGTCAGCTGAGAGAGAAAAAACATCAGCCCAAGGACCATCACGAAGAAAATCACGAAAGGAATCCCAGTCAGCTTTAGGGTAGTAGTAGGTGGTGCGATGATAAGATGAGCCCAAAAAAGAAGTACGAGAAGAAAGATTTATAGAGATCATTGCATGGTCAGAACCACCTAAGGGAGAAAAGGGAGAAACTGAACATAAGCTAGGGTCAGAGACAAGACACAAGTCAAGGAGTGAAGGTAAATGATTAGGGTTGTCAGGAAAACGAGTCACAAAGTTAACTATCTGAGTAAGAGATTGAGAAACGCAGAAGTTAACGGCTTTAGTGCCAGCAGGATCAGTGGTGTTAGAGCCAAGCCATTCAGTGTGATGGGCATTAAAATCACCAACAACAACAATATTGGCGGAGGGGTAAAGAGAGAGGGCATGGTCAATTTGATCAGAGATAACATCTAAAAGAGTGCAATCATGGGAAGAAGGAGAACGATAAAGAACAAAGAGAAAGGTGATAGAGTGAAGAGGTGCTAGGCGAAAGCACATAAAAGAATGGTCAAAGGATTCGAACCTGATTTCACGACAAATAGGGGAATTAATGCGTATGTATACCCCTAAACCTAGCATGTGACTATCGGAGTCTTTACGAATCAAAGGATAGTACCCATCAACACTGACATCTGAAGAAGGAATTGCAGAACTTAAATTTGTTTCACTGAGTGCAAGCAAGTCTGGTGAATTTTGCAGGAGGTAAGACTCAACTGATGGAAAGTTGCTTCGTAGACCGCGAATATTTGTAAAAGATATATTAAAATATTTAGGTGGTGGGGATGGTTTTTTAGGTTTTAAATTTTTGGTTACTTTGGTCATGATTTGGGTTTAATGAGAACTTGACTCATTCATAGATAGAGCACAGCCTCCTAATCAATGAGCTATGCAGTTGTCTCAGTCCTGTTAATTAACCCTAAGCCGTGACATAGGGCTCCTTATGTGGCCTTGACAATGCACACCAAAAGCATTAACAGGGACACCATCCATGCGCAACATGGCACTGTTAATACTCTGATATTTTGCAGCTGTTGATGGAATCAGCATCTCTGAGAGCTACCACAGAGTTCGGGAAACCTTACTACCAGCCGGCCTCAGAACCATTAAACTGAGTTTTAGAGCTGTACCCTCATATGGAGATAACAGGAAGAGTTGCATAGCCATTATCATAGAGGCATAAGCAAAATTCTATGAGTAGAGTCAAGGAGATCCAGCATTCATCATCCTAGGCAGGAAACAATGTAACACAGGTTACATCTACGCCAGCCTAATAGATGAAGAAGGGGTTCGAGGCTGGTTAGCAGAATTTTTCTGCTTACCCCTAAAGTCTTTGCCTAGGAGGCCTTCTGCAAGACAGTAGCAGGATGCAGTTAACATCTGCCCAAGATGAGTATTTTTATCGAGACACCATCTCTAGCCTTTACTCAACCAAGAGCCCCAAGGCAGGGGATGTTTAGCTGGATGCAGTTAACATCTGCCCAAGATGAGTGTTTTTATCGAGACGCCATCTCTAGCCTTTACTCAACCAAGAGCCCCAAGGCAGGGGAATTTTTAGTCGGAGTTTATTTCTCCTAGCCTTTGCATAAGAAGAGCACACTCTGCAAGGCAGCAGGGCTTGTGGCAGGTGGTACTGGGTTACGTGATACCAGTAGCAAGATTGATCTCGATTATCCTGACCTGACCTGGAGTAGTTAAAAGGAGCTACTTCCCGCAACAGTACTTTGAGAAAACCAGGCATGACATTTTTGAAGTGCATAAGGAAAAACACTGCATCTAACAAAATTCAGGAGTCTAAGGTGAGTGTACGTTTTGTAGTTGGAGTAAGTAGTTAGTTACTGAGCTCACGCTGCATTAGAGTATAAACAGAACACAAACAAACATGAATCAACTTACGGGTGAGTCAACACCGCGCCAGAGGTTCAGACAGAACACAAACATACATAAAAAACATAAAGTA